GTGGCTCCTCACAGGGTCCCTCTTCCTTGGAATGTGGGGTCCACTTGCCTTTCCTGCTCCCAGACGTTGCTCCAAGGACACAGCCTTGAGATGATGTGATGTTGAAAGAACCTGCACGGTATCTGTGACTGAGCTGAGTTAAGGTGACTTCATGAGCTTTTAAGATTAGGGGAAGGGGTGCCTGGGTGACTCAGTTGGTTAAGCTTCCAACTCTTGGTTTTGCATTTCACGAAATTGATGATTTTGGGCTCTGAGCTGACAGTGAGAAACCTGCTTAGGATTCTCTCAATCTCTCTCTCTCTCTCTCTCTCTCTGCCCCCTCCCACCCCCTCAAAATAAATAAATAAAACATTTAAGAAAATAAGATGTGGAGACTCTTAAAAACTGAGAATAAACTGAGGGTTGATGGGGGGTGGGAGGGAGGGGAGGGTGGGTGAAGGGCACTGAGGAGGGCACCTGTTGGGAGAAGCACTGGGTGTTGTATGGAAACCAATTTGACAATAAATTTCATAATGAAAAAAAGAAAATAAGATTTGGGGGTGGATGCAGGGATCCATTCATCTTGATGCTGCCCAAGACAAGCCTCATAACTAAGTTCCTTTCTCAATTATTAAATTGCCACCTCTTGTCCTGGGGCGGCCACCTCTTTCTTTGCTCTCTCCCTGCCTTCTGCAAATGGAGTTTCCTGGTACAATGCAGATTGTACCAGCAAAGTTCCCAAGAGGGCTGTGAACTTATAATGGAAGAGTCAGGCAGGAGACCAAAGAAATGGGTCTTGGGAAAGAGGCATCCAGTGGGAAGATCCCGAGTTGGCCATCAACCTCCATGTGGGGAGGGGTGGCCCATATGTCAGATACTTCTAGACCGCCACATAAGTGCGGGGGTGCCCAGTGGGTCTAAGGTTCAGGTAAGGAAGGTAAGTTCGTGGTAGCCGAAGCGGGCTGGCCTCTACTGTGGGCCACCGATCCCCTGGCCACTGAGGCCCAGCTGGAGACGAAAGCTCATGTCTGGAAGTTCAAGGGTGAGCTGCGATTAGAAGATGAAAATGGCCACCAGCCTCATGGTTTCGGGGCTGGCAGATAAGGTGGGAGATCAGGAAAGTGAGTCAGAGACCTCAGCCTACCGTTTTCCAAAGCTAGGAGGGCACAAGCTGTCACAGGTCAAGGTCAGGGCACTCATGACAAGGCCTGTTTAGGAAGCTAAGCAATGGAATCTCTAAAAAAGTGTTTTGTTTTTTTTAAATATAGTAATTGATGAGGAAAGAGATTAAATATCCCACGTGTTTGGATTCTTAATACAAAGGAAAATTTTAAATAGAAATTATTCCCAAAACTCCTAGGAAAAAACCTCGTGTCCTATCTCCCTTGAAGCTGTGAATCATAGCATGTCTTTAAAATGTAAACACCCCAGCAGATAACCACAACATTGCCCTCAAAGATTGAAGACAAGAAAAAAGCGGGAAGGCTCTTTAAGATACAGACTTCCAAAAATGATAAGGAAAGCAATTCGGTCTGTAGGGAAAATAGGAGATGTGTAAGAAAGGCATAAGGAATGAGAATACACTTTTGTTGAGGGGAGAAGAAAATCATTTTGTCCTGAAAGGAGACTGGCTGTTGAGAGAGGGAACATTTAGGACAAGATCTAAATGAAAAAGGAAAGCCTTAGAAAGTGTGCGAAGGGGAGTCTTTGGGAAAGAGTTTTATGCATGCTCGGGACTAAAACCTGAATGAATGGATTTGAAAATACGCTGGTAAAGATTAAATTTTGTTTTCTTCTCTCTCTCTCTGTTGAAAAGACAAAATTTTCTTGGATTGTCGGTTGGCTCCTGATAAGAGATTAGGAACAAAGATTTTTCTTTAGCTGCCCCGGAAAACAAAGTTTCTACGCTTTGCCTTTACCAAGGGTCTAAGAAACTCTCACAGCTCTTTAGCTATGGTCATTTTCAAGAGTTATTGTTTTACCCTGATGCTTTGGCGGGATGTGTTTCTGCCAAAGTGCTTTCTTTATCCTCTAGGACATTCATGGGAGAGACTATGGCAAGTACAGGTATGTGATGACAGGTATGTGATTTGGGGGTTTGGAGGTCTTTTAATCCTCAGCTGGCGCAGTGCCTTCACCCCTTATGCCACCAGGTTAAAAAGAAAGGGGACACATATGGGTCTTGGAATCAAGGAAGCAAAGCTGCCTTTGAGGAGGCAAAAATACTGCTAGAGCAGATTAAAGCCTCGGGTATCTTCGGAGCAGGGTTCCCATTTGAGTTAGATGAGTTAGATGTGACTCCGGAAAGTAGGAACAGGCACTGTGGTAGACAGCCTGTCACACAGCAGTGGGTGCGGCAGCCAGTAGGCTGAGCTCGGAGTAATTCCGTGGGTGATCACTCCTGAGCCTTGGCCATTAACCCTTCACACTGACAGCTGGGCCGTGGTTCTAAGGGGATTAACCCTTTGGCTCAGACGATGGAAAGCTGAAGGTGGGTGATGATAAATAAGCCCCTATGAGGTCAAAATTGCAAGAAGACAATTTTGTTTTACATGTCTTGCAGTTGGGTCCATCCGCAAAAGCCTGAGGCAGCCCTCGCTGTTTTTCAATTCCCAGCTCATAAGGCACTGACGCCCCCTGGCACTCGGGAAGCTGATGTCCTAGCTCGGGTATGAGCTTTAGCTACCGACCCTTAGGTAGATACAACAGATTGGGTGCACAGAAAGAGTGGCCACCGCAACGCTTGAGTAGGATGGCACGTTGCCAAGGGCGCCATCTTGCCCTTGAAATACACTGACTTGTTAATATAGTAACAGCCTGTCTCGTGTGTTCTAAAGGCAGTCCGAGGCAACTGCCAAAGGAATCTGGGGCCATTTACTGGAGATCCCAAATGGTGAGGGGTTGGCAAGTTGATTACATCGGCCCGCTGAGGGAGGGTTCTAAATGTGCTCTTGTTTATGTGGATGCTGTGCTTGGCCTAGCTGAGGCTTTCTTTTACTGCCAGGCAAACCAGGTGGTCACCATTCAGGTACTGGAAAAATTAAGTGCTACGGACGGACAACCTCGTCTAATAGTAATTGTGGGTCACATTTGAAAGGTCATGGTATGCAAGACGGGACCAAAACAGACAAAAAAAAGACACATGGTATGAAATAAAGGTTTCATCTCCCCTATAATCCACCTGAAACAAGGGAGATAAGAAAAAAAAATATTAAATTCTTTAAATTGTTAACAGGTTAAACCACCTTGACCGGGTGACTGAAGTGTGGGCCAGGCTTTGATACATTTAAATGATCAACCAGTAAGACCTGTTGCCTTACATGCGGGACTGGGGACTCTGCAAAGACACCCAACACCAAAAAGGTGTGGAAGTCGTGGGAAACAACCATTGCCCCGACTGTCACCAAGGATCAGTGCTCTGTGCTACTGAGAACACCAAGCCCTGTCACACCTGGGAAAGGAATTATCTACAGGAATTTGCAGTGAGGTGTCCCGCCAGGGTTGGTGACCTACTTTGTGCCCCTGGGCGAGGAGGAACCACCCCAGTCTCCACTAGGATCTCATCGTTCTGCTACCAGCTGCACCAGTTGAAAGGCCTGTGCCTGAAAACGTCTACCCTGAAAGAGAGAGGAGAATGTGGAGGTCCTGGTCTGGAATATTCCACCCCACGCCCCAGTGCATCTCCTCATGCCTGACAATTCTGCCTTTTCCAGCCAACATGTCAAGTCCTTAAGACCCCCCTCTCCTCAAGGCACTGTTTTTCACTGGTGTGAGCATTTGGCCACTGCCTTTGTCCCCTCTACTGGCCTGGAGGAATTATAAATTCACCTAGCAAGCCCTGAACAATAGCGGGCAAAACCTGTTCTTCCTGACCATGGAAATGTCTCTAATGAGAAAAACTGTCCTCCGAATAGGATGGCCTTGGACATTAATACTGCCTCCCAAGGACGCTCCTGTATCATTATCCAAACAAAATGAGGCTGTTAATGTGTCATCTTTATTAAATCGTATGAGGACACAAGTAAATGCCCTGAATGATCCAACCTCTGGCCTAGGGAATTTAATAAGTCAATGGTTTGGATCCTGGGGCTCTTGGTGGAAAGAGTTATCGCCGATTTTAGAAATTGTCCTAATCTGTGTTTTCTCTTGCATCCTAATCTGTATTGTTGCTATGATGTCTACATCCATTGCGGTCAAACAGGTGCCACGAGACCCCCTCCATGCTAGTGACGCCCCTCGTGGAGGGCTCAGGGCACACCGCAGAAGAGGGCGGCATCTTGGGGTTGTAAGAGCAGGTCAGATGGGGTAAAACGTTGGGGAACGTGATCAAAAAGACGTGACTGCAGACTGACCCATGAGATGGGCCTCAGGCACCCGGAGGCGCCCCACCTGTTCCTCTGTCCTTGGAATGTGGGGTCTGCTTGCCTTTCTTGCTCCCAGAGGCTGCTCCAAGGACACAGCCTTCAGATGGTGATGTGATAGTGAAAACACCTGCTCGGTACACACGACTGAGCGCAGTTAGGGCATCTTTATGACCTTTCAAGACTTGGGGGTGGGTGCAGGGATGCATCCATTTTGCTGCTGCCCAAGACAAGCTTAGTATATAAGTTCCCTTTGCTTTTGTTAAAACTACCACCTGCCAACCTGGAGTCACCCAGCCTCTTTCTTCGCTGTGTGTGGCCCTCTGGGAAAGGGGCTGGTTTCAGATTCCACCAGGAAAGCTCCCAGGAGGCTGTGAACCTAAGAGTGACATAAAAATAACAATATGCCCTTAGTGATCACAGAAAATAGTATCTTTGTGTAATAATTTTATATAATTCACGGATACCACTTCTTTATTCACATGATATCTCGATTGGCCATGAGACTTTTCTAGCTAATTTTTCTGCAAACGTATTTATTAAATCCACAAAATTCATACTGTAGCAACTCCAGTTTCCATTAGTGTAATTGAAAGAGATATCTGTCTCTCAGCAGATGCAAATGACAGTGAAGGAGAGACCGTCTGGCCTGGGGGTGTCGGGACCTCACTGATGTGGTACCTGCTTTCACCCAGTGTGTTCTCAGGTCTGAGCAGACAGGCAGTGGTGGCTGAAGAGATCCACAGATATCTGAGAAGATTCTCCTACATGGAATATAGGAACCAAAATCAGTACACAAGCAAAAATAAAGCAAAGGAAAGCAACTTGGAGGAAACAGAGGCAAAGCAGAGAGAAGAAGGCGCGAACATATTATCAATGTTCTTAGTGAAGCCATCACACTTTTCCTGGAAAGAGCCAGAGTCCATATTCAAGCCTTGGGCCAGCATCCCAGCCCTGCCTTGTGAACGGAAATGAGTGCGGACGTGTGCCAACGAAATTTTACTTACAAATCAGCTGGTGGGTCAAATTCGACCCCTAGGCCATGGTGTTGCCACCTGGCCTGTGGGGTAGGTTATATTTGGAGAACAGAAGGAGGCTTGGGGTAGAAGATGGAATTTCCAGGGTGGAAAACTCAGAGAAAGGTGAACTGGGAATTTTCTGAAAGAGTAAACGGACAGAAGGAAGAAGGAACAGAGAAATTAAAAGACCAATCCGAGACGTCTGACACGGAAACGAGCGTATGAAAGAGGGAAGAGCTAAGTTCGGGGTAACCGGTGCGCTTTTTGGAGAGGCTGAGAATGCTTGAAACCATCCAGTGTCGACATCTTGAACTGCCTCCTCTCACATGGTCTCATTTGCAAACATTTAAGAAATAATCTCCAAATGAAACAATGGTTCCCCAACAAAATTCCTGGATGGTGCTGGGTAAAGGGGGTCCAAAGATGAAACCAAAAGTGCGATATGAAATGTTTGGTTATGGTGTCAGGGAAAATCTAAGGTGGGACCTCAGAATACTGTTCAGCTGAGTAAAAGCACTCCGGAGGGATCAAACCTGGATGGACTTCGCTCCAGTGTAGACAGTGGCTTATTTCAAAGATATTTATGAGTGTGCCTTTTGTCTAAGGAGGGAACTCCCAAAAGATTCGCAGAAGGTCCACAGAATTTTTCAGAGAAATGCAGCTGTCCCTTGAACAACACAGGTTTGAACTGCACAGGTGCACTTATATGCAGATTTTCTTGATAAATACAATCCAGTAAATGTACATTTTCCCTTCCAGAAAATAGCTGGTAAGTCACAGAGCCAGGCTGGAGTCCCCGTCTGTGACTTCTAGGTCCAGTCTCTACAACATCCTCCTGAGAGCTGGGGGGGGGGGGGAGGGGGTGGGGGGAGCCATGGTGACTGGGGTTGAAAGGTGCCCAGAGCTCACCCAGGGTCCTGGAGGCCAAACTGTGGTGTCACCAGGTTCCAGTGGGCTGTGAGGAATGTAGTTCAAGAGTCTCACTGGACAGCAGGGGGCAGGGCTTAACCACAGAGGGCCGGGGGCTTCCTTCAGGATTAATGGATGATCTGAGTGGGAGATCTGAGCCAATCGTGATGAGAAGACGGTCCCTCCAAGGTCCACTGGCATCCAAACACTACTGTTTTCTATACGCAACTTTGAACAAATGAGCAAACCCAAGTATAAACAGACCAAGGCACTTGGTAAAATGAGCCAATCCAGTGCTGTGTGGCTTCCTTGTTGGTGTCAGTTAGCTCTCGGAGAAAGTGTTTTGTGTGAATGTTTCATCTGTTACTCCCAAATCAATTAGTAAAGAGTGCAACCGCTAGACAGGGAGTGTCATTATCGTGGAATAATCTCGAGTAGCCTGCCACGATCGACAAATGTTGGGGTTCTATCGGTACCTCTTGCTAGATCGTTTGGTATCAGAGACAATAATGGAGCAGACCTTTAAATGCCTTTTTAGTAATCGCTTGTTTGTGGAGCACCTACCTGGAGTGTTTCTCATTAACACGTGGGGAATTAAGAGAAGAAAATAATAGCAAAGTGAGTTCTTGATGAATGGACATTGCGGCACATGGAGGCCGCTGTCAAGGTCTGTGGGGTTAGCGTCTGACTTCTGGTCTCCTGGAGCCTTCCCAGACTCCTTCTGTGTTCTGGGCTCTGAGCTGGGTGCCGGGCTGGGGAGATATGCAACGGACAGTCACAACCACGAATGTTAAGTAGGCACAATTGACTAAAATACATATTTAAAATGTCTCTGTGAGGATGCAGAAAGAAGACCCACTGTTTTCTGGAAAAAGGTGAGGTTTTATCAAGGTGTTAGGCTTGAGTGGGAATTTTCCAAGAGAAGAGTGGAGACACCTTCAAGGAAAAGAATAGCCTTTCCAAGGGCATTGCTCTGCAGCGGAAGATGCAGTGTATGTGTGAGGTGTGTGAGCTCTGGGATGGTCAGCAAAGAGATACAGAAGGGACAGGTGAGGAAAGTTCTGGAAGGGGGGCAGGACACACAGGGCTTGTCTTCCTTCGCCTCTGAAGTGCCCAGCAATCGTGGGTAGGTCTAGCATGGAAGTCAGATACTTTACCTATGAAAATAGGAGCCATTAGGAATTTTTGCTCCCGTCCAACTTTTCCCGGCTGTTACTATTAACCCCTTTAACAGTTTAACACAATATAATGCACTTCACATGCGTGGGCTCTCACGTTAATGGACCTTCCACTCAAATTGCACAGAATCTCTGCTGTACCCAAGTGACTTCAATGTGCTGGGTCTACTTGAAATTACGCCCTTTCTCCATTTGAAATTAGAAATAGTATCCTATGTCATAGAGTCACCCTGAGCGTTACATCATGGAATGACAGTGGCTAGTGCTCATTAAACATCATTTCTCAAGTCACTGCCCTGTATGTAATGTTGCCGGGTTATGAGGCCTGGTGTGAAAAGCTAAGATTTCATTCTTGGCAAAGTGGAAGATTCTAAAGGCTTTAGAAATTCTAGTACCAAGGTTCTCCTATGGCCTTTCAGAAATGTGCTCACAGATCAATAGATATCTAAAAAACTCACATTTGGGAACACCTTGTTTATGTTTTACAAAAATAAAAGAGAGACAGTAAATATCGACAATGGCTGAATGTTCCATGTTGTGGTTTTTTTTCATAGAATAATAAATACACTCAGACCCATTATAGAGTTTTTTGACATGAAATATATGCAAGGACGGACCACTTTACACACTATAACGTGTCACGTGCAGGTCTCTTTCTCCCGGTCAAGGGCACATGAGGGACCTCGGAACCATGTGCCTCTAGCAGATACTTAGGCCACAAGTGACGGGTGTGCTTAGTGTGTATTTCCTTTGAAAGGGTACCGCCAGTGGGATTTGCTTCGGTGTCATTAATGAAAGGGGAAGCCAGGTAGACAAAGGCTTTAGATTAGGGATTAAAAATGGCAGACCCGCCAAAAGTCATTGGACCGAGACTTCCATTTTCGGTAAAATAGTTTGAGAACCGAAATTACCATTAGGATTCTCCAATGCTTCCCCGATACCAACACACACACACGCACATACCAAACACACACAGACCCAGATGTACGTGACATTTTCTCTTCCAAAGGCCCATCGTGTTTTATAATTTGACTGTTACTCCAATAAATGTGTCCCTGAAACCGGGCTGTATTTTTCTTCCAGGGCTCTCTGTAGTTAGCTGAACATCCCTAGCGATCGAGTGAGTTCAGCCTGGTATCATATGGCATTAAAATTTGGCATTAATGAGGGGCGCCTGGGTGGTGCAGTCGGTCAAGCGTCCGACTTCAGCCAGGTCACGATCTCGCGGTCCGGGAGTTCGAGCCCCGCGTCGGGCTCTGAGCCATGTCAGGCTCTGGGCTGATGGCTCAGAGCCTGGAGCCTGTTTCCGATTCTGTGTCTCCCTCTCTCTCTGCCCCTCCCCCATTCATGCTCTGTCTCTCTCTGTCCCAAAAATAAATAAACGTTGAAAAAAAACATTAAAAAAAATGTGGCATTAATGAGAATTCTGGAAACTGTCAAAGAGCCGGTCCTTCACTTTGCCCTGTTGGATGCTACCTGAATTCCACCGAGGATGAGCCGCGGTGCTCTGTGCTCAAGAGGACAGCCGTGTGGGGCGGCCGTCGCTTAGCACTGCACAGCACATAGGGAGGAAGTTTGCAGTCTTCTGCTACACGAGGAGCTGGCCGCATTCCTTTCTCAGGCTCCTCTGGGACCTCCCGGATCCAGACCGGGTAGGGTCTGCGTGGAGGCTGCAGATAAGGGAAAGGAGGCTTGGGGCAGCCGGGAGAGCTAACTGGGAAGTCCTGTACTACAGGCCACTTATACAATTCCAGTTTTGATGATGCCCTTTTTGAATGACACAAATATATTTCCTGATACCTTAAAGGCAGAGAGTTAGATTGCTTTTTTTTTTAATTTTTGGTTCCCCAGGAAGAAAATCCTTTTCCGGGGCTACAGGCAGGAGTGGGTCCTTTTGTGCAATCCCTCCCAAATGACCTGGGCCGGATGGGACGCCCTCATCTGTCACAATTCCTTAATTTCAGTATGGGGCCTTTCAGCGGACATGTTCTATCATATGCCTTGATATTCTCTTGGCTTCTGTTTCTAAGCATCTTCCACCCCCAGAAGATGGTAAAACACCATGATGGTAGAATGTATGCCCAACAGCACACAACTGTGTTTACCTTTTATTTGTCACGATTGACGCCCTTTCAACTACAAACAATACTAATGCATATTTTAAGCTTCAAATTAAACATGTTGAGAGTGCTAATGGTTATTTTATTTTATTATTATTTTAAAAAATTTTATTTCGAGAGAGAGAGAGCACATGTCCCTGGGGGAGAGGGACAGAGGGAGAAAGAGAATCTTAAGTGGGCTCCATGTTCAGTGGGGAGCCCGATATGGGGCTTGATCCCATGACCCTGGGATTATGACCTGAGCCCAAATCAAGAATCAGACTCTCAACTGACTGAGGTAGAAAAAAAAGCACAGCAACAGAGGGGTGCCTGGGTGGTTCAGTCAGTTGAGCGTACAACTCGAGTTTGGCTCAGATCATGATGCCAGGGTCATGGGTTTGAGCCCCAAGTAGGGCTCCACACTCAGTGGAGAGCCTGCTTAAGATTCTCTCTCTCTTTCCGTCTGCCCCTCCCCTGCTCATGAATGCTCTCTCTCTCTCTCTCTCTCTCTGTCTGTCTCTAAAATAAAAACAAAATCAAACAAAAATACAGCGACAGAAACAACAAATTACTTTGATGGGCTCATCATTAGACTCAACACAGCTGAGGAAAGAATCAGTGGACTTGAATACAGATCAGTGGAAACTTTCTGAACTGGAATGCAGAGAGGAAAAAGGGAATGAAAAGAAATAAAAGGAAAAAAAAGAACAGAGCATTTAAGAACTGTGGGCAGTACCAAATAGTGTAGTACACAGAATGTCAGGAAGAGAGGAGGGGACGGAACCAAAGGTTTGAAGAAATGATGTCTGAGAACCTTCCCAAACCACCAAGCCAAACCACAGGTCTAAGGAGTCCCTAGAACACCACCTGGGGTTGATACCACACACACACAGACACACACACACACACACACAGGCACACACGCACACTTAACACATAACTTTCAAGCTGCTGAAAGCCAAAGCCAAAGACGAATCTTGAACGCAAACAGAACACATGTTAGCTACGGAGGCACAGGATAAGAAGGACGGCGGTCTCCTCATCAGCCATCATGCGGGTAATGAGACAGAGGCATGGCGTGGTTCTCCAAGTGTTGGAAGGTAAAACAAAATAAATAAATAACCACGAAAATATCTGCCAAATATTCAGCAAAAATACGTAGGGAAAGGGGAGAGGAGTTTGGCGTGAGCCCTGGGGGTGAACCCAGATGGTCAGCAGCAGGGGCGAGAGCTCACGTCAGAGAATGAGACCGGGACGGGCATGAAGTGGGGACTTGGGGAGACAGGAATCAAAGCCGGAGTCAAAAAAGATAGATGAGTGAGGACAGAGAGGGGACAAAGGATGGCGGATTGGCACAGGTGACAGGTCCTTTTTTAAGGGCGTGTCTGCACGGAAGCCTCCGGCTGCTTTATGTAGGAACGTGGGGTTGCTGAATTCCAAATGTGGGTCAGAGAATTGTGCCCCATTCCTCAGTGTGGCCCCCAATCCCTTATAGCCTTCGACGATTATTACTGGCATCTCTGGCTCTGTAATTTCTGCCTCTTTCTTTAAATACTTTTGCAAATTTAGGGTGAGAGGCGTATCTTGAGAGGCATGGCTGATGGAGCTGCGATAGTTCAGAAACAGTATCCAGAGAACCCGTGAGGGCGGAGAAAACTCTCTAACTGTGCGCACTGTATTTAAGGATGCGAGATTTCCCACGAGTGTCTAAGACGGCTCCTTGCACCACGAGAGTGAGCTAAGCTTCTTACCGGTTGGCCAGGTTGGCCAGAGTGATTGGGTATCTACCCGGGCTGGAGAAAGAGGCAACCAAGGGACGAGCTGGGCTTCCTGCAAGTGATGAAGACGCTGTGCGCCTCGGCATTCCAGTCTCCAAAAGCAAAGCGGACAACTGCAGGGGTCCGCAGCAGGCGGGACCCTAGAAGGGAAAGGCACCTCCTTAGTTTCATCCAGAAGGGCTCGAACTGCAAAGATGCAATTCCTAGCTTGTCCGTGCTGCAGGTGCCTGTGAAGGATGCCTACGCTCACCTCATCCCTTGGTGATTGGCAAGACCGCATGGGTGATGACGCATGGAGTGGAGACCCCCCCTAACTGTACCGCAAACAGACGGGGCTTTAGGGAGCCACATCCCGGGAAGCCTATGGCTAGCATAGCTATTTCACTTCCATTCCCTCCCTCGCCTCTTCCATATGTGGGTTCCTCTGCAGCCATGCGGCCAGCTGTCCTGCTGTGACACTCCAGCACCCCCACGTGCAAGGGGGAAGACGGGGCATTGGCACGGCTCCGCTGTACGGGGTGGCCCCGATCTGGGGTCCGTGGCCAGCAGGAGCGGCTCTGAAGATCAGGCCAAAGGAACGTTTAGCTTTCCTGTCTGTACCGTAGAATTCCCCAAGCCAACCCTAGAGCCAGAAAGGAGGCAGAGGGAAGGGAGTGGTGTCCCACGAGGACTGGCAGGAAAGCAGAGAATCCCCGGA